TCTCTAAGGAACAAAATTCATGCAGTACTAGTCTGTGTGAACAGACATGTTCCACACTGCTACTCATAACCACTTTTCATGAAATAAAAAGAAAATTCGAGCTATCAGCTACAGTTGTGTTCAAAATAATAGCAGTGTGTTGAAAAAAGTGAATAAAGCTCAAAATCCTTCTAATAGCTTTTTATTTCCATACACACAAATGCATTGGGAACACTACACATTCTATTCCAAATCAAAACATGAAGAAAAATATATCAAATTTGTGTTGTTCCTCTAAAAAAAATTAAAGAAAAGTGAATATTAGGCTGTTCAAAAAAAAATAGCAGTGTTTGTATTCTTCTTTACAAACTCAAACATTCACTATATAAACTGAAAAAGTTTTGAAGATTTTGCTTTCCTTTGAATCACTTAATGAATATTTAGTTGTAGAAGCATTGTTTCTGAGAACTGCTGTACATCTGTGTTGCATGGAGTCACCCAACTTCTGGCACCTGTGAACAGGTATTCCAGCCCAGGATGATTGGACTACATTCCACAGTTCTTCTCTATTTCTTGGTTTTGCCTCTGAAACTGCATTTTTGATGTCACCCCACAAGTTTTCTATTGGATTTAGATCCGGGGATTGGGCTGGCCACTCCATAACGTCAATCTTGTTGGTCTGGAACCAAGATGTTGCACGTTTACTGGTGTGTTTGGGGTCGTCTTGTTGGAACACCCATTTCAAGGGCATTTCCTCTTCAGCATAACCTCTTCAAGTATTCTGATGTATTCAAACTGATCCATGATCCCTGGTATGCGATAAATAGGCCCAACACTGTAGTATGAGAAACATCCCCATATCATGATGCTTGCACCACCATGCTTCACTGTCTTCAGTGTGCTGTGGATTGAATTCAGTGTTTGGGGGTCGTCTGACAAACTGTCTCCAGCCACTAGACCCAAAAAGAACAATCTTACTTTCATCAGTCCACAAAATGTTGTGCCATTTCTCTTTAGGTCAGTCAATGTGCTCTTTGGCAAATTGTAACCTCTAAAGCACATGTCTTTTTTTTCAGCAGTGGGACTTTGCGGGGGCTTCTTGCAGATAGCTTGGCTTCACATAGGCGTCTTCTAATTGTAACAGTACTCACAGGTAACTTTACACCTTCTTTGATCTTCCTGGAGCTGATTGTTGGCTGAGTCCTGATATTCTTCTATCCATTTGAATGGTAGTTTTTTGCTTTCTTCCACCTCTTTCAGGTTTTGGTTGCCATTTTAAAGCATTTGCGATCATTTTAGCTGAGCAGCCTATCATTTTCTGCACTTCTTTATATGTTTTCCCCTCTCCAATCAACTTTTTAATCAAGGTACGCTGTTCTTCTGAACAATGTCTGGAACGACCTATTTTCCTCAGAATATCAGAGAGAAATGCACTGTAACCAGCATGTACAACATTTGCTGCCTTCCTTCCTTAAATAAGGGTAATAATTGCCACCTGTTTCTCAAAGAATGAATGACCTCACTAATAGAACTCCACACTGCTATTATTTTGAACATGCCCCTTTCAATTAGTGATTCAATTACACAGAATCAGCAGCATGCATGTCATGACTGTTGGGTCTGTTGGATTTCTATTACTCTACTACACCTGCTAGTGAATTATTTGCCATGTAGAAATATCATTTCTACCAAAAACAGTGATATTGGGAAGATTTACCCTCTCAATTTGCCCTGGTAACAAGTCATAAAGACTGAAAGTAAGAGAAGATCCAAAATACCAGAACAGTAATTGATGGGGAAGTTTTTCAATGGTAGGTACCAATTACAAGAGGATCTCCCTCGCTTTGGAGAGATTTCCTCATGTCCTGTCATGTTTACAGGATACAAGTGAAACCCCCCCCCCCCCCCCCCCATTTCCCTAATGCGACACAGATGGCAAAAAAAAAAAAAATAATTGGACAGGGCCCTCTGAACCCTTTTGTATTGAATTGTACTGTACAACATATAATGTACTTCAGCCAGATGAACTCCAAATATCCTGGCCCCCCCACTGGACCCCGCTGCATGGTCGTGATGCCCTAAGCTGCAGTGTAGTGGTCTGCAAACCCTACACCACAGTACACAGCCCCAGAGAGAATATCCATCACAATGACAAGAACTTATTGGTCATGTGAATGTGCTAGCAAATGAGAAGTACATCTGAGGCTTCTTTTTCTAATATTCCCAGAAGGAAGAAGTGGTCAATGGTCGTGCTGACCAATGAACACTTGCCATTGTGGGCATTATGATGGATACTCAATCTGGGGCTGTATACTGCTGCTTACGAACTGCTACACTGGCAGCACTAGGCAACAGAGCTGCTATGTACAGAGGGGTCCGGAGGGGTGGCCAGGTGACCAAGATATTTTGGGCTAGTTCACCTTTTCATATTTGGTTTGCTTTATTGCAGGTGTGGACTTTGACCAATCAGAAAATGAAGATGTCAGTATTCACTGAGGTTTAGCTTAATGAGGCAGTCCTGTTTAACATAGGTACACATTTTTGGTGGGATACTCCCAAAGGGAAATCACGTCTATAGGGATGCAGACCATGCCACTCTGGTCAGAGTCCTGCATGTGCAATAGTAGATTGATAAATATAAAATAACTCCCACACAGATTCATTCTGCACATGGACACAGACAACTAAACAACTACAGGTATTTCTTCAGAACAAAAAGGTAGGACTCTGCAACAAAGTTTGTTAAAATCCTTGCAATGCACATAGATCATCCAGGAGAAGATGTTTCCCTTAACAAAAGCAGAACTACACTTTAAATATTAAGATTATTTTAAATTATTAATAAAAGAGTCTATTCCTTAAACACAGAGTATTTTTCTTGGTATGTTTCCTACTTTTGGAACTTCATGATCTCACACAGATGTTTAACATGCTCTCCCACGGTTTTTATGCATAGCGTTTTTTTTCCAGGTGCAAGGTCCTGGGAAACAGGCAAGCCATCAGCCAAGTCACTTACTCAATCAGCCCCAAGAGTTTACTTCCCCAACTAAACAAATATCACCTGGCAAAATGTGTATTAACATGATTGCACATTTGCACACATACTGTGTATGCTGTGAATGATCATTATGGAAGCACAATGGAACACGTTGCTTGTGTTTTAGACAACAGTAGATGCAAGTATAGCACATAAATGTATAAAATATTGCTGCTATAATCACAAAGATAAAGCAATATAAATGTTAACCAAAAGAAAGAGGATAATGTAATACGTCAACCTAAATAAAAAAAGAAAACCACCACCGAGTAAACATGCCCATGTACCTGCACTTCAGTAGTTGGGTGGAGAACAAAAAACACACAAACATTCAGGAAACATTCAACCAGGTTTCACACAGTTTTCTAACTGGATTCCATTGGAAGATTGTGTGAAAGTATATACTGGTTTGCATCAATGAGGACGTAGCTATGCAAAGGCTTACGTCATCCAATGGAATGAATAGCTGAGAAACACATCATATTCTGCAGTGTCATTCTTTACTACTTTGACATTTATTTAAGCCTTGAGAAAAATTTCACAAGCAACAGTATTTTAAAAGGTCAGTCCATTTGAAATTGCCAGCTGCTACCAAAAACTGAAATATCAAACAGCCAATTTCTTATATCTTTAAGGTGCTCTATTGGTAAAATCTCTTGTCAGGTTCCAGGGTCTTCAGACCTGTTGCGGCCATTTTGAAGGATGAATGGATGAATGAATGAAGCTCCCTCCTGCATTTTTTAATCATTTTATTTTATGGTGACTGCCACTGGAACATGCAAAAAAAAAAAAAAAACCACACATACTTCCGTGTGCATGAACAGATTCAGGAATTGGGACAGAAAGATCACTGTATGTTGAAGCATCCAAGAAATACAAAAAGGGGACAGCACAGTGGCCAAGTAGTTAGCACTTTCACCAAGCAGCACTAGGGTCATCGGTTCAAAACCCAACCACGAGACTACCTGCCTGGAGTTTACATGTTCTCCCTGTGCCTGTGTGGGATTCCTCCAGGTACTTTTGTTACCTCCCACACTCCAAAGACATGCTGGTAGGTTAACTGTCTCCTTTCTAACTTGGCCCTAGTATGTGTATGTACTGTATGATTGCGAATTAGGGACCTTCGATTATAAGCTCCTTGGACTGATGTGAATGTACCATATATATGTAAATGTACTGCATAAACGGATGGTGCTGGCCACTAAAATCCAATCCCCAAGGCTCATCCTAGAATTAAAATAAAACTTTTAGATGGGCTGACCATTGAAATCCATCTAAAAATTACAAATAAATAAACCTGAGAGTTTGTAATATCTTTTGGGGGTTCTTTTCATAAGATCTCATAAATCTCCTCAGTTCACGGTCTTTAGACCTGTTGCGAGGATTATGAGGGATCCTCCCTTTTGACTTTTTTTTTTATTATTTTATGGTGAACAGGAGAAGCAGGAACATACAGACTGATTGTGCACACTCAAAAAAACACCTCTCAAGTGGACAAGAACAGAGTCCGGATTTATGGCAGAAAGATCATGAAGCGGCACTTCACCCAAAAGGGGAATTTGCACTCTTCCTCCTCCTGCCCCTTTTCACATTTAGCACTTACCATATTTTTCGCTCCATAAGACGCACTTTTTTCCCCCAAAAAAAGGGGGGAAAATGTCAGTGCGTCTTATGGAGCGAATACAAAGCGGCCGGTCCGGTATTTCTGCCACCACCATGTCAGAATACCGGGTCGGCCGCTCAGCTGTTCTCTCCTGCAGGACCTTACCTGTTCCTCGCTCCAGCGCTGCAGTCTTCCCGCGCTGGCTTCTGTGACAGCCGGGTGCCCACTGCGCATGTGCTGCGCTTTGTGAATGATCCGGTGTCTTCTGGGACACATGGCAGGTCCCAGAAGGCGCCGGGCCATTCACAAAGCGCAGCGCTTCTCGCGCATGCGCAATGGGCACCCGGCTGTCACAGAAGCCGGCCCGGGAAGATGAGGGAAGGACAACTCCGCGGAAGTGGGAGCAGGTACCTGTCAAATTCAGGTACCCGCTCCCCCTCCCTCCCCAGAGGGCCGCAGTCTCTGGTCATCCCCTGCACTGTGTCCGCAGTCTCTGGTCATCCCCTGCACTGTGTCCGCAGTCTCTGGTCATCCCCTGCACTGTGTCCGCAGTCTCTGGTCATCCCCTGCACTGTGTCCGCAGTCTCTGGTCATCCCCTGTACTGTGCCTGCAGTCTCTGGTCATCCCCTGTACTGTGCCTGCAGTCTCTGGTCATCCCCTGTACTGTGTCTGCAGTCTCTGGTCATCCCCTGTACTGTGTCTGCAGTCTCTGGTCATCCCCTGTACTGTGTCTGCAGTCTCTGGTCATCCCCTGTACTGTGTCTGCAGTCTCTGGTCATCTCCTGTACTGTGTCTGCAGTCCATTGGTTCAGAATATTTTTTTTTCTTGTTTTTCGCCTCTAAAGCCTAGGTGCGTCTTATGGTCCGGTGCGTCTTATGGAGCGAAAAATACGGTACTTTCTTTGTGGGGGTGGAGTACCTGATTTTGACAGATACTGCTGCCCCCCACTTCCAGTTGGATCACCTCGGTGACCGAAGCAGAAGTTCAGCCCCCTTCCTTCCCCCACAGACCTCTGGGACATCTCAGGGCCCAGAAGACTGCAGGACCATTCAGGTAGCACAGCTCGCGCATGTGCAGTGGACAGCTGGCTGTGAAGCTGAAAGTTGTCATAGCTGGCTACCCACAGTTAGTATGCCAGTGCAAGGGACCAAATCCCGGTGAAGAAAACGGCTGGGTGAGGACAGAGCTAGATCCTCGGACAGGCGAGTATCCTATTATTAAAAGTCAGCAGCTACAGTTTTTCTAGCTGCTGACTTAATTTTTCAACACATGCCTTAATGTTGGAACAGCCAAGAAATACAAGGGCTACCTTTTCCCCTAAGCTCACCCCAAAATTAAAATATAACTTCTGGTTGGTCTGACCATTGCAATCCAACTAGAGGTCACAAATAAGTAAAATGAGAAGTCAAAAAACACATGGCTCATATAAAAGAAGTAAAAAGGGAGGTCCATAGCAAACCAGATAGGATCTGCCAGGTTTCATAAGCTGGCTACAAATGTAAGAACACAACTTATCCGTCTTCTTGGCTCCAAATGCAAATAAATAAGGCTGATGTCCCTTAATGTGGCTGGATTTTTTTTTTAAGCTTGGTGAACGTGTTTGCTAGAGGCAGAAGATTCTTTTTATAATGTTCAGTGTGTCAAAAGAAGCTACAGTTTTTACAGTAGCAGAAACAAAAAAGTGCTTGTTCTAAGCACTTCGTGCTCTTATCAGAGTCATGCAGCTAAACAGAGCCTTACACATTATGACTACAACACATTCAGCTCTGTTATATCGGGGAATATCCTTCTACAAATGACCCATGTGCACACTATATCCATCTACTCAATTATCACAGATAAATGTCATACTGATTACTAATATACAGAAACCATAGCCAAAAACACATACAGATTAAATATCTCTATTATTTATTGCAGGTATTTAATGCTGACACCTTTTACACATTGCTCTACATACTGTACATTAAAGGTTGGGTTCACCTTTAAAAATAAATAATGCACATGTTTTTGCAAGAAATAAAAAAAAAAAAAAAAAGTACATTTACTGTATTTTATACAGGGTGCATCAGTGGATTGTGGGTGTAATATGGCCATAATATGTAACATGTTCCTAAAGGTAAGCCTAACCTTTAAGATCAGTTCATGCCCTCAAGAAGCTTACAATCTAGGATCTCCATTTCATGTACATACTAGAGCCAATTTACCTATCTTTGCTTGCATGGGTTTCTTCTGGATACTCCAGTTTCTTCCCATATTCCAGAGTGATAACATGCAAACTCCATGCAGATAGCGTCCTAACCAAGATTCGAACAGAGGAACCCAATGCAGCAAGGCACTGGGTCACTTTGTTGGTATTCACTAAGGCATTTAATATTGCTTGTCAAATTTTAGAACAATCTGGCAGTGATATTACACTGGGAAATTCAATCCTTCCCAAGCAACTGCAAAACACATTCAGGCATCAGGCCAAAATTAGTTTTCTCCTAGGAAAATGCCCATTTTTTCCTAAGCTGCACCCCCACAACTCATTACTAGTTATTAATAACACTTATGAGGGTTTTTTTTTTTTATTGCAGTGTTCCCTTAGAAAAAGTTACTTCACTTACTGCCTCAAGATACAACAGAAAGTCAAAGGAGATCTCTCCAAAGGGATGGAAACTCCCTCAGACAGTTGTCACTATAACGAGTGTGCCCAATAAAAGATATACCCTCTATTCCAGCTCCAGTGACAACTGTGTTTATTCTTTCGTTTTCATTCCCACCGACAGTGGTAAGCAAGACAAACTGAAGGTGAAGACAAAGTCCCCCCTGCGGGAACACAGACGGCAATAAAACCTGACTGATGTCCTTCCTTCCCTACCTTATCAATAAACAAAAGGTTGGTTATCAATGCACTTTAGATGTACTATATTGATACAAAGTTTATTAACTAAAATTCTGAGAAACTGGCAATTTAAAAATGGGCTAATTCTTAAACGTGGCACATTCCATGGGAATATTAAGTACCATGTGTCAAGTGGGAGATATACATTGTTTCAAGGGCCTAACTGTGTTATTAAACAAATTGGAACCCAATAAGGAAGGGGCGTTCGTAGGAGTGCCATGTTCCCGAATACCTATAAGTACTGGTAATTCAATGTGCCAGCAGAAGGAAATGTAGCAGAAGACAGGAAAAGTTAGTGGTTGTAAACCTCAGATGTGAAATATGAACAAAGCACATCCCCCTATAGTGTGTATTTTGTCTCAATCCAAAGCAGTGTCATTGCAGCCTCGTTCCTCTGCTATCAGCAATCACCTCTGCCAAGTTTTCCTGACACCAAGAGAAAATAGTGAAAGGGAAAGGCATAGCTCCAGCCTCAGCTTTGTTCCTGTGTGCTGGGTGGAGGGTTTGTCCCTTTCCTCACATCAGCTCTCAGCTGTTTTCTAGCAGCTCAGACAAACTATAAATTCTGGACTTTGAACAGATGTAGAGAATGGAATACTACAGATAAATAGGTACAACTTATGTAGGAGGATTTGTTTTATCTCTGTGCATCACCTGAAAGGCCAGTTGCTTCACTGGATATATATGTAAGGGTTTACAAGTACTTCAAACACCTCCCGCCCGCCATATAAGGAAATGATGGATGGGCGGCGGTTTCTCTTGTTCTGGGAGGACATCATATGATGTCCTCCCACTCTAACTGCGTGTGAGCGCAGCACAGCGGTCTGTGGTGCACTGTGTCCCTGGGACAAAGCGGATCACCGAATAGCGGAAAGAGCCAAAGACTTCGGCTCTGTCATGTGATCAGCTGTGTCCAATCACAGCTGATCGCATGTAAATAAGGAAATGCCGATTATCGGCATTTCTCTCCTTATGAGCTGTCACGCTGACAGTTCGTAATGAGAGGAGTACCAGCAATCGGCATTCTTCAGAGGGGACATCTACACTGATCACCAGTGCCCAGATGATCAGTGTAGCCCCATCAGTGCCCCCTGTCAGTGCCCATCAATGCCACCTGTCAGTGCCTACCAGTGCCCATCAATGCCACCTGTCAGTGCCCATCAATGCTGCCTGTCAGTGCCTACCAGTGCCCATCTAAGCTGCCCGTCAGTGCCGCCCAGGAGTGCTGCCTGTCAGGGCCGCTTAACAGTGCCCGTCAGTGCAGCTTAACAGCGCCATATATGAGTACTGCCTTTCAGTGCCCATCAGTGATGTGTCAACGCCCACCAGTAATGCCTGTCAAAATGCTCATCAATGCCACCTGACAGTGCCTCCCCATCAGTGCAGCCTATCAGTGACCATCACCGCAGACTCATTAGCACACATAAGTTAATGAGAAAAACTACTTATTTACAAAATTTTATAATAGAAACCAAGAAAAAAACTTTTATTTTTTTCAAAATTTTCAGTTGTTTTTGGTTTGTTTAGCAAAAAATAAAAAACCCAGAGGTGATTAAATACCATCAAAAGAAAGCTCTATCTGTCTCAAAAAAATTATAAAAATGTCATATGGGTATTGTGTTGCATGACCACGCAATTGTCAGAGTGTGACAGCACTGAAAGCTGAAAATTGGCCTGAGCAGAGCAGGAAAATGGTTAAAAAGAAGCCTTTTTTTTTTCTTTTCTGTAATCATACTTGCCTAGGTGGATGCAATATCGATCCGATGCTGAATCTGTCCCCTGTTACTTCTAAGACTGAGAACTGAGTGATCAAAGACCAATGACCCCTCAGTTCTTAGTCTTCACTGAGCAGCAAGCCGAGCTGTGTAGGGGGCAGGAGCAGCTGGCTCAGGTGGCAATCTGAGAGGCTGAGCCAGCTGCCAGTCCAGGCATCTGAGTGGATCCCGACTATAAAGAACAAACTGCACTCCTGTGTTTCACAGAAGAAGTAGAGCAAAACAAGCTCTGGCTATACTCCTTTAATGATAGAATCAACTGCCAGATACAGGGAAGGGCAGGGGCTCTGGACATAATGTACAATTATGCACAACATATTTGCACACTATGGTGGACTTGCCTCTAGATTTACCCTGCTCCAGCACTCCATTCTTGACAGTCCATCACAGTCCAGGAGTGAAGTAGGGGCTGGTAGCAGTAAATGCAGAACTTGGCTAGGGAACTCAATGTGTTTGGAAGAAGAGGACTTCTTCACCTTAGATGCTAAAGAGAACAAAGTCTGGCAGAGCAGGCAGTGGGACAGGTTAGGTTTAATATCTCTGTTACAGGGAGCCATTTTAAGTTTTTTTTTTTAACCACTTCCTGCCTAGCCAATGTTTTTTTGCTTTTTTAACCACTTCCTGCCCAGCCAATAGGAAAATGATGGCCGGGCAGGACTCTTGTCGATCCGGGTGGACGTCATATGATGTCCTACACGAATAGAGCCTTGAGCGTGCCCGCAGGGACACAGCCGATGACAGATCTGTATACCGGCCCCTTGCCAGTACCACGTGACCTGCTGTGACAAATCACAGCAGGTCACATGACAACGGTAAACAATGGATGGCTTCCTTTCATGCCATCCATTGTATACAATTGTGACACTAGCTGTGATCGGTCACAGTGATCACATGCACAGACTGGGCCAATCACAGCCCATCTGTGTCATGTGATTAGCCGTGGCCAATTAATCAGAGCTAATCACAACAAAAAAACCTGAATGAATGGATTTCATTCAGTTAAATGCTTGCTTATAGCAAAGGAATTCTTTGATATAAGCAATCATTGTGTAGAAAAAAAAATACTGATCACTTCCCCAAAGTAGTACAATGTTACTATGGTAACATTATACTACTT